ATTATATTTACATATATATGTATAATTATATTTAGTACATAAATATGTTAAAAATCTAAGTATGCCTTGGATCTCAAAAGAGCTTCTCTTCTTTTTGTTTCTTTGCGGTGACTCTAGGTTGAACGAACAGAAAGAATTAAGAATTCCTTGAATCCCAAATTTTCTAAGACATTTATTATTGATTACTACTTTGAAGTGGTCCAGAAATTGAAATTTGGAATTTATGACATTGACAACAAAACTGTTGAGCTAAGTGATGATGACTTCTTAGGAGAGTGTGAGTGCACCCTTGGACAAGTGAGTATTGAGACTTGTTGCATTCCATTTTGTCTGAGTGTTTGGTTTTTTTTTTTTTTGAGATCGGACCTCAATATGTAGTGGTGGTGAGCCTGGTACTTGCTATGTAGCTCAGATTGGCCTTGAATCTGTGATGATCCTGCCTCTGGAGTGGTGAGATTGCCACCACACCTAGCTATTTTGTGTGGATTTTTAGCCAAAGAATTCAGTGTTTTTGATAAGTGTTGATTAGTTTAATTTTTTTTTTTAAACTTTTTTTTATTTTATTTTATGTATATCAGTGTATTGCCTACACGTGGGTAAGTGCACCAGAGTTGTGCAGTGCCTGCGGAGGACAGAAGAAACTGTGGATCCCGGATCCCCTGGAACTGGAGTTAACAGTTGTTAGCTGCCACGTGGGTGCTGGGATTCGAACCCGGGTCCTCTGCAAGAACAGTCAGTGTGCTTAACCTCTGAGCCATCTTTCCAGCCCCCGATTAGTTTAATTTTTAAAGTTGAAAAGCCTGTAATGCGGGGCTGGAGAGATGGCTTAGTAGTAAAAATCACTCACTGCTCTTGCAGAAGACCTGGGTTCAGTTACCAGCACATATATCAGGTGGCTCACAATTGCTTATAACTCTAGCTCTTGGATGTTCAGTTGTTTTGACCTTGGTGGGCACCTGCATCGATGTGGTATACATACACAAAGGCACACATAAAGCCTGTAATGGTCCCTTTAGACATTAGTTGCATTAGCCTTTGTGTACCTTCCAGGCCATCTCTGGTGAGACCATGGTAGTTGTTTTCTAGGGGGAATCCCTTAAGTGACATTCTCAGTTTAGGCTCTTCTTTTAAATGAATTTGGATTTTCACTGGGTGGGTCTTTCCCTCAGGATACCTTGTGAATTATAGCAATGAAAAGCAAAAGATTTCTCTTTAATGTTGCCAATCTCTTTAAAAAACTGCATCTTTTCTAAGCACCCTTCTTGCCTGTAACTTTAAACTACCCCTCTTTCCCTGCTGTGATTTTTCATATCTTTCTGCTCCACTTGTTCTTACTATAGACCTGGGTCAGAGCAGTGAGAAATGACCATGACAGCCTGACATGTATCCTGTCTTGAGATTTCCTCCATTAAGCAAATTAGACTGTTACATTCAGATCAGCCTCACACAAATTCTCAGGACCTGAGCAGAATGTGGCCATATTCTTTGCTGATATATAATGTGAATAACCTTTAGTTCAGTTCCTGATAGAGTCCTTCCTTGTTCCCCTCTGAAACTTCATGATCTAGGCCTCCACTGTTCACATTTCTCTCAGCACTTTGGTTTTCCAAACTCCCACCAGAATGATGGCCCATTGAACCTCAGTTTTGGCATTCTAGGACTTTTCTAGCCCCAAGTTACAAACTCTTTCATATTCCTGACACAAACGAGTTCCAGAGACTTAAGGACCATATGGCCATGGCTAGGTTTCTTGTAGCAGCAACTCCACATCTTAGCACCTTTATTCTGTATTAGTTACTTTTCTCATTGCTGTCACAAACTATCTGGCAAAATAAATTAAGGAAGGAAAGGTTTATTTTGCTCAAGGAAGGATTTATTTTGTACCTCTCCACTTCTAGAGTAGGGATGATAGGATCTCCATAGATTCTTCATGAAATAGTTTTTTATATTAGTTACTTTTCTTATCATTGGAACTAAATGCCTTACAAAAGAAACTTAATCAAGAAATAATTTCCTTTGGCTCACGGTTTGAGGGTACAGTCCATCATAGAGGGGAAAATCATGGTGGTGGGAGATTGAGGTAGCTGATAACATTGTACCTGCAACCAGGAACCAGAGAATAATGAATGCTGGTGCTTAGCTACCTTTCTCCTTTCTTTTCAGCCTATGGAATAGTGCTGTACCTATTTAGGGAATCACTTATCCAGTCTAGAAACTCCCTCACAAGACATGTCCAGAGATTTATCCCTTGGGTGAGTCTACATCCTATCAGGCTGATAGCCGTTAGTAACCACCATAGCTGCAAGCTGTGTAATTCAAGCAAGTTAAGTTAGAATGTCCTTCCTTTTGGGCCTGGAGAAGATGGTTCAGTGGTTAAGAGCACTGACTGCTTTTGCGGAGGACCTGGGTTCAGTACACAGCACCTACATGGCAGCTAATAGCTGTCCATAACTCCAGTTCCAGAGGCTCTGATGCTCTCTTCTAGCCTCCACTGGCATTGAACAGCACAGGTACATTTTACATGTATGTGTGCAAAACACTCATAAATTTTTTTTTTTTTTAAAGAGTAACTTTCCTGTTGAGAGACTCCTGTGTCAGATTCAGCACTGGATAGAAGCTTTCCCTTTCTATGTATTGCCTCCTTTAGTATCTTGCCCCCATAGGTCAGCTACAGCCTTATTCTAGTGTACTGGGTGATTCATTTCCCCCAGTGGCTGCCAGGTTCTAAGGCTCTCAGGCCTTTGCAGCTTGGTGTTTTTGTTAGGACAGAATTCAGGCTGCTTTTTTTTGCCAGTGTCCCACCTGTCTTTACCTGAGAATATCTTTATCTGTCTGAGTCGGTCATGTTTCCCTCACTTCTGGTGCTCCTGTGTTGTTTGCCTAGGCAGTGGTTGGGGTATGGCTCTCTATCCTTCAGGCTAGTCACTCTGGGATCATGGTTAGATGCTCAGAGCACTCCTTTCACTCCTTTCCTGAGTCTCAGCCTTGGGTACCTACTGAGTTCCTGCCTCCTGCTGTGGCCTCTGAAGCCAGCACTGCCCCCACTGCTTCTCCTGCCCCAAGCCTCCCAACTCACCTGTGCTACAAGTCATTTTAGTTTCTCTCAAGTTCATGGTTCCAGTGCCGCACCCTGGTATTTGCACCGTTTGTAGAAATTCCCCTGGGGGTGCTGCACTGCATCATGAAGAGGGATTTTGTGAATTATACCTTAGCATGTTTATCTTCTGTTTATCACTTTTCTGTTTCTTCACACTTTTCAGTTTCTTATGACTATCTTTATGAATTTCTGATGCTGTTCTTTCCTTTGTGTCTTTGGAATGAAGTCTATGGTTTCTTTAAAAATTTTTTTAGTACATTTATTTAATTGTGTGTGTGTGTGTGTGTGTGTGTGTGTCCGTGTATGCACATGCAGAGGTCAAAGGATAACTTGCAGGAGTCTGTCCCTCACGTTGGTCCCAGGAATCATACTCCGGCAGTCAGGTTTGTCAGCAAGCACCCTTACTACTGAGTCATCTCACTGGCCTGAGTCTATGCTTTCTTATCTTTCACTGGGTTATATATAGACAGCTTAGGCTCCATTTTCAGAAGACTCTCAGGCATTTCAATAAAAAATATCACTGTACTAGCTGATGAGAGGTCAGTAAAATTTTATTATGTTCAAGTCATAAATCCTGTTGAAGAAGCATTAATTTCTGATGTTCTAACTAGCTTGACCCTCTTGGCCCTGATGTCCTGACACTACCTTTTTCTTCTGCTCTACCTTAAGTGTATCACTTTAAATCTTACTTCCCCCATAAACTTCTGATCCCCTGGACTTTTTAGAGCCCTTTCCTGATCTGGCAATGTCCATGGTGTCATATTTTAATTTTATTTATTTAATTAATTAATTTTTTAATATTTATTTTAATTTTATGTATATGAGTGTTATGTCTGCATGTAAGTTCACCCATGTCATGCAATACCTGTGGTGGCCAGAAGAAGGCATCAAATCCGCTAGAACTGGAATTAAGGATGGTTCCTAGCTGCTATGTGGGTGCTGTGATTCGAACCCCAATCTTCTGCAAAGCAGCCAGTGGTCTTAACTGCTGAGCCGTCTCTCCAGCCCTGTGTCATATTTTATTATAGTTGACTTATTTTCTGTCTTCTTAGTATATGGAAAATATGATCAGGGTAGGGGTCTGTTATTTTTTTTTCCTAGCCCTGTGATTTTTAAAGAGAGATCACGATTATTTGTATAAACTGAAAAAAGCATGAGGAAGGTAAAGCTGTTCAGTGAGTGACATTTATCCTTTAGAATTGCCTTTTATGAGTTTGTTTTCTAGGTTTGAATTATTTGATGATCATAGTAGTTCCCATGTCTCAAGGGAAATAAGCAATAAGTCAGTTATTATTCATGAGTAATATTAAAGAAAAAATTCAGGAAATTTATTATTTGGAAAAAAATCACAGAGAAGGTAAAATTCCAATTAATTTGAGAGCTGTATCAGTTTCAGAGTGCCTAGGCATACTGTACTATTTTAAGCAATGTGATGTTTTTGAAAGTTACATATCAGGTTCTGTGCCAATTGGAAAACTGAATCACAATTAATGATTTTACCTTTTACCACCTTTTACCAGAGAGGTTTCAGCTCAGTGATTCATGTAAGAGATGAAAATCTAGACCTTTTTTCCATTCCAAGGGATAAGCCAAAGCTGGATCTGTTTAGTAAAGAACCTCATGGGTGGGGAGATGATATCTGCAAGGGTAAAGTTTTTGGAAATCTTTCCAAATGGTTCTAAATATGGAGATGAATTTTAAATGTCTTTAAAGAATGTAGTTTCAATGTTTGTGTTTGTAATGTCTTTAAGTGAACTTTAATTCTTTTTCAAAACATATTCAGTTTAACAGCTCATATGTTGAAGTGAAGTATTACTTTCTGCTTTTAACAGATTGTTTCCAGTAAGAAGCTAACCCGACCCCTGGTACTTAAAAATGGCAGACCTGCTGGGAAAGGGAGCATTACGGTAAAGATAAGATCCTTTTCCCTCCAGATATAAAGTTTATTATGTCTAACAAGTAACTGTGCATATCAAATAAATATTCTACAACCCTGCCTTATCAATTGATCTTGAATATTGTAGTCTATTCACCTTGACCTGATAGTGATAGAAATGGAAAAGTGCAATATGAGAATGCCATTTTTATGTAAAGGATAACGTGTCTTGGTGCTTAATTCTTTTCTATGGAATAGGACTTATTTAAATTAGGGGACCACATTTTTTTTTTCTGGTCAATACTTTTACTCTTGAATATTCAACTACAGTGATATTAAAATTCTCAACCATAATCCATAGTAAAAGTACATCTGCAGATACATTGAATAACAAGTCCTGCATTCCCCACCCCTGCCACACACACATCTGAAACTCAGGTTATTAGGGAACTGCATTTAACCAGGAAGTTTTGTCAGTGGTAACGTCTTGTTTGGCTTGTGCAAGACCCCGGGTTCAGTCTCCTGTATTGCAAAGAAAGTGGTAAGCTCACGTACTTAAGTCATTTTCTTCCCTTATCTACTCATAGGTTTCAGCAGAAGAAATAAAAGATAACAGAGTGGTCTTGTTTGAAATGGAAGCCAGAAAACTGGATAATAAGGTAGGTAGATCATGCATATTTCAGCACGATACCAAGTATTCATAACACTGATTCACCGATTCCTTCTTGAGAAATTAGTAATGCACTTAACATGAACTCTTACCTGGGTATACATTCAATCTCAGTCTTCTCTCTCTTTCTTTCTCTCTGAGGTATGTTTAAACAGAATCCATTCTTTTCACCTCTTTCATGTAGATGCACTTAAAGAACTTTTCTGGATTAAGAAAGTACAAGCATTAGTGTTACTGTAAAAGTCATGAAAGAAAGTAGTTGAATTACCTTTAGAGGAAAAAAACCCCCCAAAAACTCAATGTTTTCTCAATTATGTCAGTTACTCTTTTTGCATTTAAAGGTTCATATGTAATAACAACTGTATGAAGTATTCTTCCTTATTTTTGTTTACCTTAGAATTTAATGTGAAAATGCCATAAGACTAATTTCCAGCGGCTTAAAAAAAACCTTTTAGAAATACTATGTTCCTGTCCTCCATCTTTAACAGTAACTCGTGTCCAGTTTTGTTCATCCATACCTATTTTCCTTTTCCCCAGACATCATATCATTTTACCCATAAATATTTCTAAGGACCCTTTTAAAATGTATTTACTTAAAACGCCTCTTAAGATAATTTTTGATGTATAAATTCTTCCCTTTTAAGTCTTCCTTCTCTGTCCTTTCCTTCCCCCATCTATTCATCCATTCTTCCATCTATTTATGCAATTAAGAAACTGTTTCCTTTGTCCTATAGATGTTTGTACATTCAGCATATGGCTAAATAAATCCCAGTAGTATCATTTTGCATGCTTTGTTCTCTATTTCCTGACTTCATTAAGCTGCCAAGTGAATATAGAGAAATGATCTGATGGCATTTTGAATTGCTTATGAGACAGTTTCATCAGTGTTACTGTGTAACTCCATCAGGGGGCTTAAACAGAGTTCTGTATTGGGGTGATTGGTGGTGACTGCATCTTCTATAGAGAAATGTCCCCAAATTAGTTATTTATCTGTTTTGAACAGCAGTTTATACAGGAAAGACAAAGCATTTGCTTACCTTATATTTATTATTTTTCAGAATAAGTTGTTTTCCTTGATAGTCCTTAAATGTGACCACTGATTGATTATTTATTTATTTATTTATTTTATTTATTCCTTTTTAGACTAGCTATAAAGTCATGGATTTAAACATTAGTAACTGCTGCAGGTCATTTCTTTTATTTTTTTGAGATAGGGTCTCCCTGCAGCCCCAGCTGGCCTGGAACTCACCAGGATGGCCTTGAACTTACAGAGATCCGCCTGCTGGGATTTAAAGCTTGTGCCACCACACCCAGTCCCACAGGTTACTTCTTACTGATACATTATCCCAACATTGGCCTGAGACCCTAGGAACCTATAGATAGTGTCCTTGTTCTGTTCCATGACATAGTGTTGCAGGTTTATTTGATCTGATTTCTGCCCCAAACTGGCACATTAAAAGGAATCTTACCTCATTTTAATGGAATGGGTATTTAGGGTCACAGTCTGAGGTGGGAACTCACCATTTGCTGTTACTGTTGCTCATGATTTGTTTCTAGGATCGTTTTTAGTGAGCAGATATAGGAAAGACTTTTAAAAAAAGATTGTGTGTGTGTGTGTGTGTGTGTGTGTGTGTGTGTGTGTATTTATGTGCACAGGCTATAGGAGGGCATCAACTCCCTCAAGTGTTTATGGGATGCCTGGCTTGTTGCATGGGTGCTGGGATCTAAACTCTGGTCCTCATGATTGTGTAGCAAGTTCTTTTAATTGCTGAACCATCTCTCCAGCTCTCTACTTTTTAAAAATAGTTTCTCACTTTGTAGCCCAGGTTTGCCTCAAACTCATGACAGTTCTGCCTCAGCCTCCCAAGCACTGAGATTATAGGTGTAAGACACCATGTCAGACAGGAAAGAGGTTTTTAAAAAGAAAACTAAATGGCCAGGTGTGCTGGTGCATGCCTGTAATTCCAGGATTTAGGATCATGAATTGTAAGCCAGTTGGACTATATAGACCCTATTTCAAAAACAGACAAAAAAGAGCTAAGTTATAATTTATACAAATATTTCCAATTAGAATATAGAATTATAGGGATTTGCTTTAATATTTCTACTTCTTTTATAGTAAGAATACTTTTTAAAATATTAATATAACCACATGTATTTTTTCATATTTAATGCCTAATAGTTTCAGAATCAAAATATCAGTATTATAATTAACAGTATTTTACTGAAAACAGTTTATACCTTCTTTGAATTCTTTGGTTTTAAAAGCCTTTTGATTTAAAATCAAATGAAAGCTGGGTATATGGTTCAGTGATAGAGTGCTTGCCTGTGTTGTATACAACTCTAGGTTCAACAATTTTTTACTACAGAGAGAGAGAGAGAGAGAAAGAGAGAGAGAGAGAGGAGAGAGAGAACACATGAATGAATCAGATTGTAATGTAGCCAGGCATGGTGGTGATGCTTGTAGTCTTGGCACTAGGAAACACAGGCAGGAATATTATAAATGTGAGGTCAGCCTATGCTACAGTTTGAGCCCTGCCTATAAATAGTGAGTGAGTGAATGAATGAATGAATGAATAAATAAATAAATAAATAAATAAATAATAAGATTTTAATAGAGTCAAGGCTAATGAGCAAAACAAGGTAAAGCCAAGAAATTTAGCTTCTTTTTCTTTCTGTTCTGCCATTTTCTTTTCCTTTCTTGTAAGTAATACTTTTTAAAATTTTATATTTTTATGGCTTAGTTCTTCAGTTTCTAAGATTTTGTATGAATGTATGCATATGCATACACATAGGTATTCACATGCATGTATTTATATGCATTATATGTATGTTTACCTAATTGTGTTTGGGTACATATCTATATTCTCCACTCCTAGACCTTAAGGAAGTCTAGCATGCTAGATATCTACTTCAGCCACCTTGGTTTTTTCTCTTAACCTATCCCGGAAGTCCATCAGGAAGTTTCAGTTTTTATTTTACTGCCGATGTAGACAGCTTAGGGAACTTTCAAACACAGACTTTTTTTGGCCTTCAAAATGGTAATAAATATGCTTTACCTTTCCCATGGGATTGTTTTTAGGGTAAGTCACACATTATGTAACGTGTTTTTGGAAAAGTTAACATCTTTGTAAGACTCTTAGTTGTCAAATGTGAACATAAAATGTTTATTTCATTTACTTAAGATTATTCATAAAGATAAGGTTAAAGTTCTCTGTAGTATTTATATTTCTGTTCTTCATTGCACCAAACACGTTGTTTTGTTTGGCATTAAATTTTGTGTTCAGCAGGGAAATCATATTATCTTAGGTCTTAATTAAATACCAAAAACTACTTTAAGACTAAATAAATCTTCAATACAGTGACGTATCTGCTATATTACTGAAGTGTTTGGAAGTTTTTGCCCCCACACAGTAGTGTTTGCTTAGGAATATGCATATTTCAAAATAAAGATAAACAAAAATTACAAAATAGTTAGATAATAGTAATATTATAAATGTGAAGTCAGCCTGTGCTACAAGGTGAGCCCCTGCCTATAAGTAATAGATGAATAAATGAATAAATAAGTAAGTAAATAAAGCAAGCCCATGGTATTAAGGTTAATCTGTAAAATAAGTTATATCCAAGAAATTTAGCTTCTTTTTCTTTCTGTTCTGCCATTTTCTTTTTCTTTCTTGTAATACTTTTTAAAAAATTTATATTTTATGAGTTAGTTATTCAGTTTCTAAGATTTTATATGAATGTATTATCATATAATCATTTATACTATGGCTACCTGAGTTTAACCTCAGCAAGTGATTTGCACATTCAACTTAAGTGAGTGATTTGCATGTTCCAATATTTCATCTATGTACATGTATGTGTTAGACAGGGAATAAGAGCACTTTTGAGACCTCACTGTGCCCAAGCCTTGTATAGGAGTACTATGGCAAATGGTAGAGGGAACAGGGGATGTAGCCTTTTTTTTTTTATTTCTATTATGTAATCTATGTATCTGCCTCTGCTCCCTTCTGTGACTATAAGAACACTGCAGCACTGGTGAATAGAAGTTGGACATAGAAGGGCAAGATAGGAAGTTAAAACACAGATCAATCAATTAGTAAGATGTGTTATCTTGGAAAAGTTATTTAAGCCCATTAAATCCACTTTCCCATTCCTAACTGCCCTGTCCATCACGGTATGACTAATGTTTTGGATGCCTTTAACATATTTAATGCTATGTGAATGGAAACTCTTAATGCTGACACCAAGCCAAAACACATTTTTATGTTACATTTTATCAATCTATTTTAAAACTTTTTTTTGAGATAGAGTCTCCCTATGTAGCCATAGCTGGCCTGTAACTCACTAGGTATACCAGGTATACCAGGCTAGCCTTAAATTTACAGAGATCTGCCAGCCCTTACCTCCCGATGCTGGGATTAAAGGTGTGCACCACCATGGCCGGTTAAAACTATTATATTTTTGAGGGGTAGGTGTGATACACAGAATTATGAGCATTCATTATAAATGCTTTAGTCATTCTCCCCAGGAGACTTATGCAAATTTGTAAGTTAGTGCAAGATGACAGGATGATATTCTCACCAGTATATCTGCACTATGGAGTTAGACCTATGTGATTGTCAGCATGTATAAGGTATGGTCACACATGATGTTACAGGAGAATGAAAGCTGTTTTTTAAACGTAGGATCTGTTTGGAAAGTCAGATCCGTACCTGGAGTTTCACAAGCAGACATCAGATGGTAACTGGCTAATGGTTCATCGAACAGAGGTAAGTACTTGAATCTGAATGTAGGCGAGGGTTTCTTTGGAGTTACAATAATCTGAATTTACAACAGAACTAAATGTGTATAAAAATATTCATGTAAATTCAGAGTTATATGTAGTCAGAGATGCAACGTTAGCATGCTCACGTTTTTCCTCTTAATGAGGAGATGCTGCCATGCTTAATTGTTTTCTGAAAAGCTTTTTACATTGTATAAAGAATGCTAAATGTGTTCTGTATACCCTCACTTAGATTCACCAACTGGTTTTCCCTGTGCACACTTGTGTTCTCTCTCTCCTTGTCTCTCTGTCTCTCTCACCCACACTTACACACAGTGATGTGTGCTTATACACTTGTGTGGACATTTCCATTTTGGTAAACCACCCTAATGTAAGCCTCAAACATCAAAATTTTCCTTTTGAATGCTACACGAGGTGCTTTTCAAGACTAAGGGCGTTTTAAAATACTATGCCTGAGAAAATTAGTATTGGTTTCATAATTTCGTTCTGTGTGCCATTCATGCTCAGATCTCCTCATGTCAGCACATTTCACATAGATTATGTTTTCTCTAGGATCCAGTGGGGATGAATGTTTTGCCTTTGCCTGTTATGCTCCCAGTTAGAGGATTATTATTATTACAATAATTATAATTATTATTATTTATGTGTATGAGTGTATTGCCTTACTGTATGTAAGTGCACCTGTGTTGTGCAATGCCCACGGAGGTCAGAAGAGGACATCAGATCCCCTGGAACTAGAGTTACAGATGGTTGTTAGCTGCCCTGTGGGTTCTGGGAATCAAACCCGGGTCTTCTGCAAGAGCAGCCAGTGCTCTTAACTGCTGAGCCGTCACTCCAGCCCCTATAGGATTCTTTTTAACCTCCCTGAGTTTGCATGCATTGGAATCTCTTGAATAATTGAGACCAGAATGAATTCTTATGTTTTCTCACAATTAGATCCACATCAAACGTTTTGTCAAGAACTCTCCATGTGTGCCTGTTTTTGCTTCACATTGGTGCCCCGGCTGCCCTGTACTGATTGATGTCAGACTTGGGCACTTGGTTAAGCTGGTGACTCTGTTAAAGACCTATTTTTTTCTATTTGTAATTCATAAATTATGTATGGTGTGGTACTTTGAGACTGCTTGAGTTACCTGTTCTCTAGCATTTTAGTATCCATTGATAATCCTTGCCTCAATCAGTTATATCAGGGTCTGTAAAATAGTGATTTGTGTTTTTCCACATATCACCTCTTATACCTACAAGCATTCCTCTTTTATCTCTTTGTTCTCTTCTCTCTCTCAAGTACCATTGTAAGCTCATGGATTATTCTAATTCATTAACATTATTATTTGTACTACTCAAATTCAGATTTTAGCAGGAAGAGTGCCTTCAGATGGATTCTGGACTCTTTCAGCATTGATGGAATATGTCTGTATTTTATCCTGTTCCAAAGTTGCAAGGAGCCGTTTCTCTGAAGTATCTGAGTTCTGGATGTATTCATCAATACTATAGTGTCACTGTGTTCCATCTCTGTCAATGGACACAACTGGGAAATATATACATCTGTTTATATCTGTCTATTCTGTGTGTATATGTACTATTAGAAATTAAATATTTCAAAATACATTTATTTTCTAATTCATGCTCAACACAGCAAAGTTCATTCTTACCCTGTTCTGTATTTGAATCCTGTGGGCCTACAGAGAAACTCCAGTTTGCAAAAATCACAAGCTACTCTTTCTACGTTTACATAGTAATTAGTGGATATATTTTTCAAGTAACTTTCTTCTTTGCTCAGCATGTACCATAAGTGAACAATTTATTATGCTTTTCATATAATGATTTTGAAATAATGTCCTAGTTAAGTTTTCTTGGAAGTAGTTTAGTAAGAACTTAGGAAAGGCAAGAACAAAATACTCATGAACTGGACATTGTTCCAATAGATCCTTTTATCTTTATAGGTTATAAAAAACAACCTGAATCCTGTTTGGAAGCCTTTCAAAATCTCTCTCAACTCTCTGTGCTATGGAGATATGGACAAAACCATTAAGGTAATTAGAAATTAAATGTAGAGATAGGTGCTCTTCAGTTTATTATGGGATTGTGTCCTGATTAACCCATTGTAAATGGGATTCATCATAAGTTAGGCTGAGGGTATAGCTTGGTTAGAGCATGGACTTAGTGTTCTTGAGGGCCTGCATTCATTCTGAAGGAGGGAAGAAGGAAAGAAGGGGAAGGAGAAGAGAGAAAGGAGGGATCAGAAGAAAGGATGTTAGAAATGCATTTAATACACATGGTTTACCAAACCGTAGCCACACAGTACACTGTTGAGTATCAGTGTTTACTGTGGTGATCCTGTGGTTGACTGGCAGGTTTTGCTTGCTGCCACTCTTGGCATTATGAAAGAATTGTCAGTGTTGCTAGTACAGGTAAAGATCAGAATTCAAAACCTGTGCAGTTTCTACTGAATGGTGTCACCATTCACAGTTTGCACCACTGTAAAATAAAAAATTATTTAAATCACACAGATACAAGTCAGAGAGTGTAACATACATGAATGTGCACACAACTACCTTATAAAGTTAATATTTAAAGTTGTATTTTTAAAAAGTAAATGATACAGCCATAAAGTTGAATTTTATGTGTAAATGATAATACTAAAATTAAATTTTTTTCTGGCTAGTAAAGTAATCCATTTGAAGGCATAGGCATACTTTACTGTTTGTTGACTAATGTGTTGATCTAATGCTTAATCATATAGCATACTTTTTATTTTAATCTATATTTTTAAAATTTGCATCCAATTTAAATATTTTTTACTTTTTAATAAGATTCCTTTGCTCAGCCAATAGGAACCATGAACTTCATTCTTTACCTGTAATATATTCCTTGTAGATAAAAGTAATGTTACTTTAAGATTTCAGAGAGTCTTCCTACCATTATGAGGGAGAAGAGAGTAGCATTGTGGGGACAGAGAAAAGCAGTCCATATCTCTGTTTTTTATTTATAGGCATTTGCCAAAGCAACAAAACCTAAACCAGCCAACCAATTCTCATACACATACACACAGACTTAAGACATGGGTGTGTGTGTGTGTGTGTGTGTTTAAAACTAGGTGGGTTCCAGTTCTCCCAGCTGGGCTCTCTCCATCCCTAAAGTCAGTGTCTTCACATGATTCTGTATATAAGATTTTCTTATGTTATATCTCAACATACCAAGGGTTTTTTTTTTTTTTCTTGTTGTAATTAATATAGTGAAAACAGGAATGATAATTAGAGTCAGGCCTTAGCTTACATTTTGATTTAACTCTTTAACCAGGTAAAGGATGTTGGGCTGTTCACCTAACTTTAATAATATACTTGATAGTAATATCACCATCCAAGAAGGTAAGGACAGAATAATGAAAGTAAAAGTTTAATATATAAAACAACAGGAGAGATACTGTCAGTACTGAAAACCACTTAGTTTTTGAGCTATGGAAGAAATTGTTCCTAGATTTTAGAGAACTTAAAAAATCAGTGTTAAGTTGATTTGTATAGTATGTCAAAGAACAGTGAAAATCTAGGTATGATTTAAATAATATAAATGTAATATGAATTATATAAATATGTGATATAAACGTAACTAAAATAATTTTTATTATATGATAAATCTAGAGCCCTTCCTTTTCACATTAAAAGTAGTAAGCCTCACTAGATCTGAGAAGACAGAAAAGTCTAGGCTATTTGATTGTTTCTGATAAATTAACAGTAAAACCGTGTTTCTAAAACATTTTTTGCTCACAGTGGCATGCTTGCAGGGCCAATTTATTATAGTAAGTAAACGAATCTTATGAGCTTTGTCTGATGAATGTCTTCTATTCTTAAAAGTCTCTCATTTTGTTTTTAATTAAACATAACTTGGTTTGGCACATCATCACTCACTTTATTTCTCTATTTCTGTATTTCTTTGCAATATTAGCTGAGTCACAAATCTGTGATTCATTTACTGTTTGGGAATTACTTAGAGGCATGGTAAAGAATTACAGAGCAGAGGATAAAGTTGGAATCCTCAGTGGTTTCTTTGCTGCAATGTGTTATCACTCTTGCATGTATTATTTCCAAAACATCAGTTGAGCAAGAGAAATAATCATGCATGCTGCTGCCTTGCCTCGAGTGAGAATGCCTTAATGGTAATGCACTGTGTGTTGTGTACAGTTTCTCCATGTATGCATATACTCTTATGTATATATGCATATATTTGCAAGTTCTTCTGATACTGTAGCTTATTTAAGTAGCCAATAGTGGTGGTGTTTAAATTCTTGAGAAGAGAGAAACTAAAAGGCATACATTCTACCTCAGACTATCTGAGCATGTACACTGAAGATGTTATGTCTCACTTTAAGAGGACAAGAGGGAGCCACTCCATTTATTTACTGTAATCAGAACTTGTAGTTTTAAAAAAATGTATTTTTATTTCTTAAAGTTTCAGCTCTTCTAAATGTTTTCATATTGTAGTTCTTAGTAAGGTTAGTTTAACTAAATCTTGGCCATATTAAACTTTTATTTTGCTTGCATATAAATTAATGTTCTCTCAAGGAAATTAAAATGTAAAGTCCCATTTGACATAATTTCAAAATGTCTGTTAAAAGTGATCTTATTAAAGCATTAACGTAGTTTGTTTTCTACCTCATTGAAATTTTACTTCCTTTAGAGAAAAATCAATTTTTATCTTTTTTTCCCTTGACACATTAGTCAGATAAAGGGCCTTTGGATTGAAATTGGACATTGAATATATAGGGCAGGAATCAAACTGTCAGACTTGGTCAGTTGCAAAAGTGCCTGGAAGGCATTTCCTTAAATAAGCAAAATTGCAGTTCTAGGATGTGCCTGTTTTGATTGATGATTGATTAATTGATTTTAAGTGTTTGCAGAAGATAATGAAAATATAAGTGAGAAATGAAAGACGTCCAATAATGCAAAGCAGTCAGTGTAGAACCGAGAAGGCACTCTACCAAATGAGTGCTTACAATTTCTGGTGTGGTACCTTGGCAGCTTATTTGGCTGAAGTCATATGCAAGTTTTTAGTTAGAAGTTTCTACTTTGCAGCACAGGCTCCAGAATTGTCCTCGAAATGGCATTTTACTTTGCCCATGTTGGTACCACACTAGATGTGCCATCTTCTAGACTTTGTATTTAATCCCTTCAAGTTTCAGATCTGCAAAATGGGAATAGTAGTCAGAGGGTTTTCCATGTTGTGGATGAGGTGAGGCTATTTAGAGAATTGCACTGTATACATATTAATTGTCCACAAAAATGAAATAATATGTTGAAATTATGGAGCATGATAAAAATACTCTGTTAGATAGTCAGACACTGTGGTCAAATTTTCAGCTTACCTTGAACATCTCATCTTGGTAATACCAGTTCACACCACCTTACTCTTCCTACTGGAGAGAATATTTTACCATTCTGGTGACTGTTAACCGTTCTACATTTGTTAACCAGCACAAAACAATACATAAAAATAAAATCTGATCTTTTGGACAGGGACAGAAAGGGGATAGAGAGAGAGGAAAGAGGGTGGAGGAAGAAAGTGGGGGAGGAAGCGAGGGAATGAGAATTTAATAAGAGCTAGATCTAAGCCTAGACCTCACCTCCCTTCTCTTACATAGGAAGCCAGTAAATATGATGCAGCCCTCAACGGGCTAACTATTCTTGCCCTGGAGTCTTCCATTTTGTTGCAAAGGCTGTGATCCTCAGAGTGATACAAATCTGACTATCACATCTTATCTAATTACAAGCCCAGCCTCCTCAAATTGCAGTTAATGAAACATATTTCCCATAATTTAAAATTATCTAGAACTTATTGTATAAATTTTAGCTGGTAGGATATTGACTTCCTTTCTCAAGATAATGACCTCCGGCTCTTGTGTAGTGATAATAAGGTGAAAAAGCAGATGAGAAAGTAGCTGTAGTTCCATTTAGCCTTTTATCGGCATTTGCAGAGGGCATGATAGAGACACTAGAAACCTTCCGGTGCAATTTAAGCTGTGTTTGTGTTTTATCATCCTCCTGGGGTCTATTTTAGAGCCCATCCCAAGGATAGTTCTGGTTTGAAAGTGTTTGAATATTGCTTCTCAAGGAAGTTAGCCCCTTTTTCTTCAAGTGGGTGCTGCATATTTTTTCACTTTAATTAAAAAGGCACATTTATTGCAGCCAATATTTTTAAAATAAAATTCTATTGATTTTTGTGTACCTTTATTATATTTAATTCCAGGTAGAGTGTTATGATTATGACAATGATGGGTCACATGATCTCATTGGAGCATTTCAAACCACCATGACAAAACTAAAAGAAGCCTCCAGAAACTCACCTGTAAGTTGCATCTTTGCATTTGTATGATATATATTATATATTTTACCATATTGCTATTCTATATTGCATAAAGTTGTTAAACTGTGAATTTTAATAAGTATCCAAAATTCATACTTGGGATATTGTCTTAAGGAAGGAACAGTGGATAGAAGGTGGTGGGAAGATCATTGTGTTGGGAGTTGGATTAACCCCTAAAGTGATAAACTCAATTTATTCTTGACACACATTCCCAGTGGAAAGAGTTGATCTTTGCTGAATGTTTTATCGCAGGATTGGGCTTTTTATATTTTTGTTTTAGTATGTTAGGTTTTTCCTTTGCTTTCTAATCAGCATGTTTTTGTTTTCTGCTGCTAACATATAAGAGTACCATTTAGTTTTTTTTTTTTTCTTTTTTAGAGCAAAGGTTATTACTTGGAGCATTTGTAAGGAAATCGTCCATAAAGGCAAAATCTATGCTCAAGCTGATTTGGAAACTTTGTAGTTTTATTGCCTTAATTGTTCAAAATTTAACCAACAAATATTTTACATACTTGATCGATCATGCAATTATTTCTGAGTTGTCTTTTGCACGAGACCTTTGTCAATAAATGATCTGATTCTAAGGAAAAATGTTTGTTCATATAAATTCACATTAGTAATCTGACTATTGTTAGTAAAAAATTAACACTTATTTTTTTCTTCCTATAGGTCGAATACGAATGCATAAATGAGAAAAAGAGGCAAAAGAAAAAAAGCTACAAGAATTCAGGTGTTATTAGTGTAAAACATTGTGAGGTCAGTCAGCACTGGCCACTTGTAACAATTTCACTTTGAGTTCTTATATTGATGTAGTTTATATCAAATACTTTGGGCAGGTGGAAATGACTTAAGTATTTGGTCACCTTAGGGAAAATAATAGAATGCAAAGTAGTTAAGAAATCTTTCAAGTAACTTTGCTTCCCAGGTTTGATAATATTTTGTAAAGGATAAAGAATATTGAAGTTTTCCATTGTCTTAGGAAATGTCCTGGCTTAGTGCATCTATCCTGGCTATAATTTTAAGATAACCTGTTATAAATAGTGGGGAAAAGCCAGAATTTCTTATGGTGAAAACATGTTTTTTACCTTGATTACTAAATAGTTCTTAAACTGTCTATATTAGAGTCTTTACATAAGTCTTAGAGTGAGTATATTTCATCTTTGCCTTTGATAGTCTTTATTGTTTTGTTTTTAGTCCCATGAGTTTCTGTTTTTTAATTTTTTTTGCATATTTTGAGTAAACATAATAATGGATTTTATTGTTCCCTAGGGTACATAATGTATTTTGCTCGTATTCACATACCCCCATCACTTTTCTTAACCCCCCTATTCCCACTGATCCCTTCTTCCCAACTAGTCTTCTGCTACTTTAATGCCTTTTCTTTTTTGTGTGACTCAGTGAGTTTAAATTACCTGTAAATTTAAGGTAATTTACAGGAACATGGGTAACTTACCAGTGGCTACACCTTTGAAGAAAATGTTCCTCCCTCCCTCAGCAATCATTATTCATCAAAGATATCAGGGAGGGGTGGGCCGAGGGAGCTTCTCCTTCCTAACAATCCTTAACTGCCAAGGAATCCTCTTGGAGAGGCTGAGCCTCAAGCTCCTCCTCTTGACACTTTAACCTTAACGCTGCTATACCTAAGCTGCCTGAAACTCTTACTAATTTCTGGCATTTATGGGAGGAATTCTGTATGCTCAAAAGTGAGGTTGATTTCTACATGTTTGTATCACGTGCTGTTCCATTTACCCTGATAAACATATAGCCAAAGAGCTTTTTGTTTCTTTTGTATAGTAGGAGAGCTTCGATTTTAACAGTCAGCTTCTGTTTTTAGATTACAGTAGAATGCACATTTCTTGATTACATCATGGGAGGATGCCAGGTGAATTTTACTGTAAGTAACACAGTTTTCTAACACAGGCTATTAAATGTTGTTTCCCCCCCTCCATTTTGCAGTATTCTTTTACTGGAAAACTGACTTTGTAATGAAATTTATACAATCTATTTAGTATGATTTCCTCCCAGACCTCAGACGTGTTGTCTAGGTTCATCATGGACATTCTGACTTTGTTGATGAACAGTCTCTCCCTCCTGAGGAAAGGCAGATATGCACAGACCAGTGCTTATCTTGCAGTAACATAGGAATAGAAAACAAACTTCAAAAGACAGCCCCAAAGTGTGGGTCATGCATATGATTCATGATTTAAGACAGCTAGAAAAAGATCAGGTTCTTTTCATGTTGAAGCTTGTTTAATTGTTTGTGGAAATACTGTAGGCATTTGTTAGGAGATGATCTGGGTGCTTTTTGTGTCTTCTTCCCTGAAGTTTTCTTAGATCTCAAGCACAGGTAGCCTTGCCTTCTTCTTACTAGAATTGTCATGTTACTTGGCAGGTGGGAGTGGACTTCACTGGCTCCAATGGTGATCCAAGGTCTCCAGACTCCTTGCATTACATCAGCCCCAATGGTGTTAATGAGTATTTGACTGCCATCTGGTCAGTGGGATTGGTAATTCAGGATTACGATGCGTGAGTATGACGTTGGAAAGACTGAAGCACTCCTTTGCACAGTTACCCAGAAAGGGCTGTTTCTGTATCAGTTGGTGCTCTGATAGAGGTGATAGGATAAGGGTGATGGAAGAGTGCTTCCTTTCTTTTTTCTTTTCCTTAAAAGTGACAAACTGCCCAGTTTGGACATCTTTTTAGATTTTTTTTTTTGTCTTTTTGAGACAGGGTCTCCCTGTAGCCCCAAATATCCTAGAACTCACTACATAGACCAGGCTGGTCTTGAACTCACAGAAATCTGCCTGCCTCTGCCTCCCGAGTGCTGGGATTAAAGGCATGCACCACCATGCCCGGCATCCTTAAAATATTTTTGTTCTCATCCAAAATAGTACCCATATGTGATTAAATGTCAGTTGGAGCCATAGGGCACACCAAACAGCAGGGCTCTGCTCTACCTCTTCCTACTGTTTCCACTTTTTATTTTATTGAAATTTTTTGTATTTCATATAGAACATCTTAATTATCTTTATACACCCTTTCCCATGGCACCCTCCCAATCCCCCTTTCCCCCAACTTGAATGCATACATTCTGTCATTTGTGTTAATGCCTGTTGTGTCAAGTTAGTGTCCCTCAGTGCAAGTTCATCCACTGAGGTCTAGTCAGCCTATCTAGAGTCCCTCCCTTTAAGAAGATCAGCTCTTCTTCACCCAGCAACAATCAGCTGCCAATAATTCTTCAACTAAGATTGGGGCCTACTGTTCATTTCCACAGTTCTGTGCTGGGTTTTTGTCTGCTTGAGTTTGCCTGGGTCTTGTGCATGCTGACACCATTGCTGTAGGTTCATGTGAGAAGGGTCCCAGGAGCATTTAGAACTGTATTTCCATATGGCCATGCACTTCCTTCCTGGCTCTTAGAATCTTTCTTCCCCCTCTTCTGCAATGATCCCTGAGCTCTGGGTGAGTGAATTTTAATGTAGTGCTTCCTCTCTTAAGTTTCTCCTACTTTTTGTTTTTCTCTCTATGACAATCTTTGTATTTACCTTTGATCTCTTACTCTTGCTGTGATTAGATATAGTATGTTATATTTAGCTTGCTAATTTAGTAGTTGACTGAAGTCAGCAATAGTTATTTCTTTGATCTGGTTTCCTTGGGATTTAGTCATTAGGGATAAATTATATATGTAGTTGATATTGAGATGACGTCTTCTTGTGAACAGTAATAAAAACTTTCTTGGGGCTGGAGAGATGGCTCGGTGGTTAAGAACACTGGTTGTTCTTGCAGAAGATCCAGGTTTGAATCCCAGCACCCACATGGTAGCTAACAACTGTCCATAACTCTAGTTTCAGGGGATCCAATGGCCTCTTCTGTCCTCCACAGGCATTGCATGACATGGGTGCACTTACCTACATGCAAGCAATACACTCATACACATAAAATAATAATAATAAGGGGGCTGGAGAGATATTGCAGTGGTTAAGATCACTGACTGTTCTTGCAGAAGACCCGGGCTCTTTTCTTGCAGAAATCCCAGCACCCACATGGCAGCTAACAACTGTCTGTAACTCCAGTCCCAGGGGATCCAACAGCCTCTTCTGTCCTCTGCTGGCATTGCACGACACGGGTGCACTTACCTATATACAGGCAATACGTGCATACACATAAAATAAAAATAATAAATAAAATATTTAAGAAAACCAAAACTGTTTCTAAACATATGTGTTCTTCTTAGTAATGAAATAATAATTTAATAATAATTTTTTTGTTATTATTATTTGAGACAAAGTCTCACTGTGTAGCTCTGGCTGGAAGTCACTGGGTAGACAAGACTGACCTCAAATTCACAGAGATCCCAGCTTCTGCCTCCTGGAGTGCTGGGATAAAGGCATGTACTACCATGCCTGGTTGAAATTGCTTTTTTTTAATTGAAACTTTTAATGAGGCTAACAGACAGCTTAATCTAGTTCCTGCAAAATATTTTGAATGAATTTTCAATAGTTAGATTTTAAGTAGATTTGGGAACCGTGAGTGTATTTGAGTGGTAGAGCATATACTTAGCCTGCGCAAGAACCTGGTTTCAGTTTTCAGCCCCATAAAAGAAGAATAACAGTCAAAAGATTATTCATTGAGTAAATCTGAATAGGCCCTCTTGAAGGTTTATTGGACAGTATGGAAAATCTACATTAATAATAGTTTTTTTTTGGATTTGTTGCAACATAAGATACATTTTCATTTGTCTTTTTTATTGTCATTTTATGATAATAACTCTGTCATATTGATGGAGCTTTTCATTAATTAACCATGGCAAAATTTAGAACCAAAATTAACAGACAAATATGAGAGCAGATCTAAAGTAAAGGTGGCAATTCTAATATTGGGCTGGTAAACTTAGGGCAAAAATCATTAAACATAATACATAATATTATAGATACTTTGTTTTATGATCCAAAATTAAAATATAACCTTGGACATGTTTAATAACAGTACTAAAGTATTTCCAAATTCAAAATATCTAGAAATATAATAAAAATTTTAGAGTAACATAATTATAATGAGATTCTTATATGAAAAGTAGAAAAGTTTCAATTATTTAATCTGTTATCTATAATTTAATAACAAAAGTATAATTAAAACAAAATTTTCCACATGGAAATTAAAAAAAAAATTTAGACACTCAAGGAGTTCTTAGTCCAAAGAGGAAATCAAAGCATTATAGTAGACTATAAATAAAAGCCAATGAGAAGTCTGCACCCTGTCCTCTCTTTATAGATGATTAAATTGTAGTCCTGGAATTTGAACTCAGGGACTTATGCATAGTAGGTGTATGCTTTATTCTTATGTTGGTTTGGGGTTTGATTGATTGTTTATTTTGACAGGGTTTCACTGTGTAGCCCAGGCTGTTTTGGACTCTTGATTCTCATACTTCTGTCTCCTGAGTGCTTAGCTTTACCACCATGCCGTAGCCATGCTTTTATTCTTTAAAAGAGTTAAATTGAATATATGCTAACTAGCTTTTCAACACAAGAATAGGAAAAATATGTCCAGTAGTAATAAATTCCTTATATGCCACTTAAGATACTTTCTATTTTGAAACATTTTAAAATTTATTTTTATTTTATGTGTATGAGTGTTTTGCCTGCATGTATATAAGCACACCCATGCATGCAATGCCCATTGAGGCCAGAAGAAGGCATTGGATACACTGGAACTGGATTTACGGGCATTGTTAGCCAGCATATGGGTGCTGGGAGCTAAACTTGGGTCTTCTGCAAGAGCAGCCAGTGCTCTTAATGACTGAGCCATCTCTGTAGCCCCTCAAATACTTCGTATTTAATATTCTCCAATCCTCATATTTCACTGAGATGAACAATGCCCTTTACATTAGACAGATGAGGAAACTGAGGCACAGGAGTTTAGTAACTTGCTCAGGGTCACTCAGCTGACAACTACTAGAGCAGATTGAACCTGGGCCACTGGGCTTGAGAGACATGTTCTCATAGTTATGATTTGGAAAGTTGGAAAAAAAGAAAACCCACCAAATTAGTTAATTAAATCCAGAAATGATTCTTTGCAAGTTCAAAAAAAGTTAGGCAAACTTTTGGCAAAACTGACCCCACAAATACATAGAATATTAGTAAGGATAAGAAAATTAGAAGCATAGATTCAGAAAAAGAATCAAAACTGTTTAATACTTTGTAAGATTTCATCTGTATTTAAGGATGATTATTTTACAAAACCATACCCAGTGTCCCTGCTTTTAGATTTAAATAATTCAATATAAATGAACTAGCTTTCTAATAAAATAAAAGAATAATGAGAAAAAATATGATCACGAATAATAGTAACAGGTTTTTGGTTGATTGGTTGGTTGGTTGCTTTTTGTTGTTGTTTTGTTTAAAAAAAAATTTTGGGGGGGTTGTTTGACTCAGGGTCTCACTGTGTAGTCCTGCCTGGAACTTAATATGTAGACCAAGCTGGCCTTTAACTCGCCACCACACCCAGCCTTAAATAATAAACTTATGCTAGCTATTAGGTGCCAGAGACCACTTTATAAAGTCTAAATAGAAGATGAATTATAGAAGGAATTGGACAGATCACCAAAGAACCTCTCCTCAGAAAGGCAACAAGACAAGATATTTTCACACATGAACTCTAAAAAGAAAAAAAAAAAACCCTATAATGAACAAATTGAAAACTAATCAATTGAAAAAATAATTAGAAAGCAGCAAGAGTTCAGAAGAGGGAACACAAATACAGCTTAAGATTATAAAAAACAAAAGCAACAACCAACTTCTCAGTAACTAGCAGTAACAAGATTATATAAATTATATTACATAAATATAATAAAGATCATAGTACATGTCATAATAGGTGAATATGAATTTAGTTAAAGTCTAGGATCATTTAAACTTATAATGAAGAACTAAGAATGAAACTTCTTTAAATAGAAAAATAGATCGTATAATAATGATTGAAAATTTCTTTCTGAATTAATCAATTTAATCAGTAGAATCCTGACAAAATGAATCTTAAAATTCTCTAGAGGGAAATTTGCTTCATGTTAATTAGTAGATGTGAAAAGCATTGCCATTGAAATCTACCTGATGACTTTATATCCATGCTCAGATGGCCAAGGACCTTAGAAAGTAACCGACTGT